CTGGCTTGATAAGGAACTCACCGAAAACATATGTTCGCCTACAACCTGTGTTTTGAAAGTGAATCGCTTGAAATAAAGCATACTTCATGAAGTCTGACCTGTTTTGTGATATTTGAATATGTATGTTAAGTACGATCGATGGTGCGACGAAACCCCACCTACGCTTTTGTACAATGCGCGCTGTACTAACTGAACTGTAGGGTCACCTACATCACCCACCCCACACACCAGTATATTCAGTCTACGAATCGGCAAGAAGGTTCGCCATTTAGATAACTAAAGCTCACCAGACAGAACAAATTCTACTGCTTGTATAAATGAACAAAACAATACGAAGAAACCGATACGTGTTCCCGTCCCTGTGGTGACAAACAGCGGATTCCGACGAAGAATATCCTGATATATGAGTGGTCATCATCGCTTTGTGCTCTCAGCATCTCCAAAACAGGAATGTGGTTTTCCTGGTTTACTTAAACCAGTGTTAAACAACTGTAACCTGTATGCACGACGGTCGCTTCATACTCCCTGAATAACCGACTATCGTAGGGAGCGATACAAAAGCGGATGATAGATGAAGGGAACGGACATACATACAGATAAACAGAATGAACGTATCCTCGTTGCAATGTGTTATTCTGTTTTGATGCGCAGAGATATTTGATTTCGGTGTGGTATTTGGTTATCGTAGACGGAATCACGATCGATGCAAAGTACCCACGGATGTTGATTGTGCAATAGCGGCGGCCGCTAGAAGAGAAACTAGTATGTTTATCTTATAGGTAAATAGCGCCCCCAGCGTACTAGTGTCCAAAAATCCGGTTATTCTACCGGTATCATGGGCTTTGTTGCATATCATGATCCGTTACATTACTGCTGAGATCACCCTGCAAAAGAAATTGAACTATCATTGCTATCAAAGACGAAGTCTGTTCTGTGGTATAAGTCGCACTGTTGAGACATAGATCACCAGACCTTTACCCTATTAATCACTACCGAGATTATCTAGCAAAGGAAAAATGTCGAGAAATTCGTGACGACCACGACGACGACGACGACCACCACCACCACCAGATTGTTTGGAGACGTTGGCAACAGATGTCTCAAGAGTATGACATCTTTGCCAGTATACCACAGTCTCTGTTTCTTTGTTAGTAATGGTGGTACTAATAATGAGGTACTGATGAGGTTTTCTTTCGATAAACATTTTCTCGGGGTTTTCACATGTTGACGAGTGGTCCAGAAACTTTTGATATCTTTTCTAACCATGAGCATGGATTTCGGTGATACAATAGTTTCGTGCGTAATACTCCAATAGCTCGAGTGTTATACGATCAACTCAGACAGTCAGGGAGAAATGGGACGGTGTGATAGAGAAAAATGGGCATGGTAAGGGGGTAGACGAGCAGTTAACGATCATCATCCATGTGGCGCGCTGTTTGAGTAACGTACATGACAATGAAGATGCCGGTGTTATGACGCATAAGAAACACACATGGCACAGAAACAAGGTACCGTGTGTCATGATGCTCAGGAACGTGCGGGATAAGAGTTAACGAAGCACGGGGAAGGTCGTTAACTGGCCTGGACAAGTTACGGCAGTATGTGAAACATTTGTTGTAACTAATTTACCATCCAGGGTGACACGTTTCTCACATTCTCAGCCCTGTTGATAATATTTTCTTGTTGCCAAACTGGATAGGTAAGTAACGGGATTAGATAGCGAACGACAGTTAATGAATCACTTGAGTGAACCTTTTTCTTTTTTATAAAGATTATTGTACCATGATTTGTTTGGCACACAGTCTGGCGTCAGACGTATGTGGGAAATTATGTCCACTCATTCACACACTACTTATTGTGAAATATTCTCTAAAGACGATCAAGTCACGTTTGTTGCAGTTAGTAGCACCTAACACCTACAACATACCGAATCATAGCATTGGTTCTTCAATGGATTGGCTCTGAAAGAGCTGTCTATTCAAAAGTCACCCGGTGTTGCAAACAAGGTTAGTGTGACGAAAATGCACTTCCTGGGTACAGGTATATGAATGAGCTGACAAAAGAATACCGGATACACATACCTGACGAGTGGCAAGAACTGCGAAACTGGTCATATGCATCCAGGGAAATTTTGTCCAGTCATTCACATACTACTTATTATGAAATATACACTTGACTGAAGTAGCAAAGTTGTCGAGGAGATTTTAAAGCCTGAGTTTCTTGTAATGGTGTAGTTCGTATGGTTCAGTCGTGACACATCAATTCATAAGTGCTCTTTTCTTATCGGCTTTGGTTTATGTGTGTGTATGTGGGTGGAAGGGTGAGTTGGTCTGTTTAAACCTAAATATTGGTGTTTGTATGCGCAGTTTTTCACGATTCTATCCTCATTTAATTGTGCACTATTTCTATTATTCGGTCTGTACGTTTTTCTTTCTGCCCCCCCCCCCTTCACGTGTCCCACTCTGTTTTATTACAGCCGTCGAAGCGATCTCACTTGGCCCCGGTCAGACTGGTCAAGGCGCTGGAGCGTTTAATATCCCCGGTCAACTAAGGAATGTCTACGAGCAAATGAGACCGATCAAAGACAAAGCAGCCGTGGCAAAAGCGTTTGAGGAAGAGTTCCCGGTAAGCGGTTGCTCCACAGCCCAATTTTGTACATCTGTGTTGTTCATCACAACTCACTGACCGATGGATGATGTCCTATGTGTACTTTCGGATAGAACCGGTACGGGATTTTGCTCTCTCCCACCCAGCCGATTAAATTTTCATTGGTATTTCTCTCTCTCTCTCTCTGTATGTAAGATGGTAGTCTTTCTCATGAAAATGAAACAGTTGCACAATAAACTCCGTAGATCGGTCGTGTAAATCGGCACCAATTTTAGATATTGTGAGCAATATGTGTGAACAGCATAAGTGTAGTAAGGTATTACTCATGTTAGTGAGTAATATGCTTGGTATTTACAGGGGAAAACGGCCGATGGATTCTCATAGTTGTCAAAAGTGTAAACGAATTGGTGAATTCAATAGTGTAGCGAAAGAGGATAATAACAAACCGTGAAGTGGTTTAATCAATCACCGGAACATTTCGTGAAACAGTAACTTGGACGTTTCATTTTATCTGTTTCTGCTCTATGTCACTCGATCTACCAATCACCCTTGTCATTCTTGAAGTAAAGAAACTTCGGTGCGGTACCAGTCTTGTGGATCTGTAACCCATACTGAGGAGAATCCGTAATGGGCGACCCAGACCTCTGAAGTATCGAACTGCAAAATAGGCTAGCTGTGTTATTAGGCCGGCCAACAGCCAAACTGTCTCTCATCCTAGTTAACTGTTAGTGACAGCTTTCGAACCCGAGAGCTCGGAACACCAGTGACAGTGACGGTGACGGTGAATCGCTTTATCATCATAATCGCGTGAGGTTAAGAACTCCTACCGTACCGATCGGTTCAGGCCACCAGTGACAACCACTTTGGTTGCTTTGCTTATTTCTGCAAGATAAATATCTAAATTCGATGACAATTTGGTAATTCAAAGTGTACTTTCCACTAGCTTATTTGACCTCAAACCCATTCAATAATCGCTGCTTTGGCGTCTCGTGTATCGCCGTCAAGGTAGCCCGTGTATCGGTTTTGATGTCAGTTTTCGGACACCAAGTTAGAAAAGCCTTGGACTTATATTGTTCGGTTCAGTTCAATTTTTACAACCACTAACCATGCGCTCTTGTGCGCCGGTTTTGGTCGCTGTCTTTTGGTGTCCCATTCGGATAAAAGAGCAGAATGAAGATAGGAATGTTGAATGCAAATTCAAGTGGAAGATGGAGAATTCATACGGAGTAGTGTTAGGGAAATAATGAGTGGATGCATAA